CAATGTGTCCACAAAATGCTCCTGGAGATTCCTTACAGTATAAAGAAAATATTTAATTGCAATATGTATCGTCAAGAGGTTACGTTTCCGTTTCCCTTACAATGCACTCGGTAAACATTTGTGTTGTGGTTTATGGACTGATCAAAGCTAAAAGTCATGATACCATCTCTGACAAAGAACATTTTACACCCATAACTGCCATGAAGTAAAATAGCATCCAAATCTAAAGTAGCATAACTTACTCTGCATAATTGACTTCCAATCCAGGTAAAAAGGAGCTTAGATATAGATGGCCATTCTAGTTCCTACCCTGTTGTCCCATGTGGTTGACACACACAGTGGAGGAAGCAATCTGGGGCATCTGACTGGAAAAACTTTCAGCTCATGTAACATAAGAGGAATCAGTTGGTGGGTGACTACTTTTTGGTTAATGGAATGCAACTACAAAGTGTGTCTTCCCCAGAAACCAACTGCTGATCAACGAGCCTGCAGCATTCAGCAGCTACTGGTTTTAACTTCCACAGATCCACAGACAATGCTAGCATACGTTCGCCACTGAAATTAACAACTTAATTATCAGAAATTTTCTCCACTCAATCACAAATGCTTCAAAAGAAGTGCTAGAAGCTCAGTAAAAATAGAAGAGTTGCCTTGAAAGATTTCATTCACTTCTAGTTTTTCATCCATACAGAACATCAAATCCCCATCCACTTTTCCTGGCTACTTTTCTTTCAGACATCAGTAATGCCTTCCAATGACATACCAAGCAGATTCATATATTTTGGATAGCTATACCACATGTTAGTAGCATTTGATATTCCAGAATTCACATGGGCTTAAGCAAGTACATTTGAAAATCATAGCTGTAGTTATGCCTGTCACTTATACCAAGGAATATAACTTCTAATTTCCTGAGGATACATTTGCTGTAGAAACTGGCAGCTTTCTAAATATCCTATTAATGGCTTTTGAGATCTCAGATATAAGTCCACCAATAATAATAATAATAATAGTATTGCTCAGCCATAACGATATATCTGGATCATAGAAAACACAGGCAAATTCTTGGCAAAAGGAGGATGGAATCAGAGCATGTTGCAATTTCCATAAAAATTTTCTCCTTGTTCTCCAAGACCTGGTTGAGTTTTCCCCTGTCTATCACTAATTACTGTTCTGCCACATTTAAAATATTAGCACTGTATCCCATTCTTAAAGTGCAGTAATATGGACCAGAGTGACCTTATAAAAACAAACATATTATTAATGCTCTTTGAAGAAAATGTCCTGGAACACAAATTCCAGTTCAGCAAGTATTTTTTTTTTCTTATCTGAGTAACTTTATATATATGAATGCTCCTATTTGACTCAAAGGGATTACTCATCTGCAGAGAGTTATTTCAGAGCCAATTTGTTGTTTAAAATTCACAGGGAAAATAAGGTAATTAAACAACTGTTAGTTAAGGCCTTTCTGTGGTATGCTTGTATAAATTAAACAGAGGTATTAGAGACAATTTTAGTTAACAAAGTCTTCCTTTATAAAAAAGAATGTTTTGTGCTGAAAAAATGTCTTGAAGGATAAATGTATTTTTGTGCTCTTAAATCCAGAGTTGTCCTTAACAGTAGCAAAATTCAGTCTCACAGACGAGTGACTTAATTTTATTTTCTTGCTCCTATTTTTGTATACCTTAAATTCAGCAATGAAACATCTCAGTTGGTCCTACGTTTCCCCAGCTTACACCTAACATAATTTCTAACAGAAATTAGAACTCGGCACCATTAACGCTACTGATGCATTCACCTCGTCCTCAACCACATTGCCTCCGAGACACAATAAAGGTGTAGCCAAAGATTTATCCCGCCAATAAGATATAGTTATAGGTCCCATGAAGATTACTGACACTAAAGTACCAAATATGTACTGGCCTTGGACTTAGCAGATAACATGCCAGTTCTGAGATACATTCAAGTTGACAGTAAATCAGTATCACAGTTCCAATAATAGGAAAAAATATCTTAGAGGAATTTTTGTTAAAACATTCTACTTTTGAGTTAGTTATTAAATGGTAACGACCATAATGCACTAGGCAATAGGTTTCTTAGGCTTCTTTGCAGCTCAAACGTGCAGGCGATTCACAATAAGGCTATTTTTTTTTAAGGTTCTGCAATTTGCCCCTTAAATCTATTTTGTCTTAAAAACAAACAAACAAAACCCAAACCCCAACCTTTAAACCAAAAGATACAGCAATCTTATTATGAATTATACTTGTTTTGTAAATCTGTGCATGAAAACACAGCCACAGCCTCCATAACACCTCCCTTTTGTGTCTACAAAAAAAACAATAGTCATGGGTAATGGAAAGCTAGAGAGTAAGTCACACTAGTTCAGCACTGCTTCACTAAATTGTAGATGTAATTTTTATTGCCTGTCTCAGATGTCAATGTATGTCATCCAAAATTCTTTCCTGAGAAGTTTGTAAAAAGAAGATCAATTTCTCAAGGTGTATAAATATATTTCTCAAGCACCCTTCTGAACTTATTTCAATTTTCAGGTTTTGATGATAGTCATGCTGACAACTTTTTTTGGTTCATCAAACTCTGTACTACAATTACATGAATTTACTTTTAATAAATTACCATCTTTGCATATATCAGTCAAACCACGAAGACTAAACACTTGCAAATAAAATGCATTATTAATTTAATTGTCACAGCCTATTTAGCTAGCTTCTATTAGTATTTGCTATAATATGCAACATATCAGAGGGCAGAATCAAATTCAAAACATAAAGAATAAACTGATTATATTGTTCTAGAGAAATTAAAAAATAGCAAGCTTGCAAAATTATAACCAAGGCATTAATGTTTTAAATAGGTAGGAAAACTATGTAATTTAATTTAGAATATGTTTATAGCCAAATTGATGTTTTAACATGCTGAAGAAGGATTTCTTTGGTTCCTAAAGCCATTAAAAAGCATCAAACTCTCCCACTATGGGAAAGGTGAAAAGGAAAGCAATGGCAGATTGGTATTTACTGCAGTAGGTCATGTGGCTTTAAACATCCACAATCACCAGAGAGGGAACGTTCCTATAAAATTATAATGTTGCTTTAGCTCTGCCACACCTATTTGATGTTGCACTACATTAAACTTAAGTGCCAGCTAAGAAGATACTGCAGAAAAGAAACAATCAAAAGACAGATGAAGAAATTTTAAACAGAGAAAGTACAAAGCCACTCAGATATCACTTGTGCATGCTGGCCCAGGGGAACAGATGCAGATGGAGCACAGAGGCTTGCAGGACAGAGCTTGGCTCCTTGCTCCCAGGGCAGCTGGGGCTGCCGAGGCTGTGACCCTGCCACTGTATGGACGGGTTGGGAGGGAACCTTCCTCCTCCTGCCATGCTGGCGAGGCAGGCAAAAAGCCTTTGAGGAATATGGGAAGAAATGGGGTAAAGCAGCCAGGCAGCCTTCAGGAGAAACAAACAAACAGGAGACAGCAATCACCACTTTAGGCTGTAGCATCCTGCCTGCTTAGGAATCCATTTCAACAGGACAATCATTAAAATTATGACTGTCAGGCTAAGATACAATATTGGGATTTCTATCGTACGTATCCTTTTTGAGCACATACTCACTGTGGTAAAGCAGGCATTCCGTATGCTGTATTTATGATGATTACACAGCAAGCACCCCCTTGCAAAACAGCACATTGAATGCTGCCAGTACCAAAACATGCCACCACAGTGAAACTTTTTGCTTTTTGCAATTGTTGTTTTACGAGAAAAGATAACCAGCATAAACTTCAATACAGTATCTGATTTGATCAAACTGTAATTGTTCTGATGCGTTATTCTACATTTTAGATGAAAGCTAATATCTTAAAGCTCTACATGAACATGTAAAGAGTAAAAGCAGTGATTAAACATGTACTTAGTCAAATAAAAGGTGCATATATTGTGTTAATGTAAAATCCTTCTTCCTCACTCTGTGATTACAGTGTGCTGAACTTTGAGGGGAAAGGAATGAATGCTCTAACCAACTATCGTTTCCAGTGTATTTAATAGAAAATGAACATGACCCAGGAAGAGTTTTGCAGTGATCTCCTACAATTCACAGCTACCAGTCAACTTCCCTTTCTTCTGTGTTAAAAACAGGAAATATTCTTTATTTATAAAAGCTTGCAATAGAAGAATGAGTAACAACGTGGTACTATTTGAAACATAATCAAGCATCGACCACTGAACTCTGTAGGTAGGATGCATTCACTTACCCAAACTGAAATAGAATATGCCATCTATTTGTCCTCCAAAAAAAAAACCAACATTATTTGAGCTGCCCCAAGAATTCAAGAAAAAAGCAGTAACTACGACACAATATGACCAGTAAATCTGAGGTAAATTCCACTTATTTGCAAACACTGTGTTGTTCAGATTGCAAAACATGGTCACTTTACAAGCCATAGCAAAAAATAACCTCAAAAAAAAAAAAAAAAAAAAAAAAAAAAGTTGCAACTAAATGACTGATTTTTTTGTTTTTGTTTTTGTTTTTAAGTCGAAACACTAGATCTCTTTTCCTGTCCAAGACCAATAAGGAAACAACTTTCGTGGCTTTGACCTCAGTATTCACCACTAATCTAAGAAAGTTTTTTTCTGAACCTATGAGCTGCAAGGCCAGATAGATAAAAAATGAAAAACTACTTGATTTTATACGTGGACAGAGGGATACTACTATGGAAATCTTGAGGAAATAATATCACCTACTGAAAATCAGCTCCATATGTTGCAAATCATGTATTTTGCATGGAGTTGCTTTCTAAGCCAATTTTTTTTACTGAATCCTACAGACCTGCTGTAAGGACCATACTAGCATATTTAAGCATGTTAAGCGTGTAGTAATAGTTGAGCTAAAAGTCCAGGTGACATGTTTTGGGGTGAGCTAAACACTCCAGGCAACACATACTACATAAAGAAAAGTTAGTAAAAAAAATGAAAAGAGACTTACCTTTCTTTGGGTGTGCCAACTCCATGCTTGCCCAGTAAATGAGTATTCAAATGCTTCTTCATCACAAAAGCTACCCTGTGGAACAAACAGAAAAACAGGAAGATTAGTTTTTCTAATATTTTTTCTTTTTTTTAAAATAGAGACTTTGTCAATTTTGAGCATGCACTTGAGCATATTTTACTAATGTTGAAATTAAAACAGTAACTTTGACAGACAATATTCTAAACTTGGGAGTCCACTCTGCAGTGACAAATTTTCTTCAGATTGTAGTCAGTGGGGTATTTTCATTACAAATAAGCAATCACAACCATACATCACTGGTCAAATAGAAAAACTGCTTCTGCTTTCTGTTGTAAATTATAACGCCTTATATAATATTGTGAGAGCAGACAACTTTGCTTAAATTGCATTGTCTCATATTATGAACTGACAGAGTCTCAGTTACACCTTTGAATTTATTTAAGTTTAATGGACACATCCTACAACCCTTCTTCATACGAGTTTCATTTTCTTTAATGAGAGTAATAAAAAGAATACAGTAAGATCAGATGCTTTAATCGCTGTTTCTGTCTGGTCAAACTTCACTGTATTAATTATTTAAAGAAATACACATGGAAACAAATTAATAGTCTTAGTTGTTTTATAGCCTTGTGAAAAAAGAGAAGGAAAACAATGAAGCACACTTTTGCAATTACATTTTGAAAGCATTCTTGAAACTAGCAAGACATTGTTCAAGACATCAACAATAGCAGCCACACTTACACTACCTGGCATTGTGTTTACACCAAATAAAACACAAATAATTTAATTCCATTTTAGTGATACATATAATGAAACAGATAGGAACCTACAGAGTACCATTTTGCTGCTGATAAGACCCGAACATCGATTTAATTATGTCATTTGACTGCTTCAAACAATTTAGATATCAGACTGAAGCTGCAAACTAAAACAGTTCTCTTGATAAGCAAAAATTGTACTGCTGTAACTTTCAGTGTGAAAAGGGCTTGCAAACATTTTTGTTAATTATGTATTACAGCTGTCCTTCATAAAGTTAATTACAAATAGCTGAAAGGCAATAGACTCTATTTGCATATGTACATGAAAGGCATGACATATGCAAAAATATGATTTTAATTAGCATTCTATGATATGAAGGGCTACAAATCAAACTGGCATGTTATAAGATTTTTAACATTAAGCGCTGAATTCATCTGGACGTGTTTGCAGTAATGGACAATGGAAGGACTGTAAAAAATACTGTAGCATTATGGCATGTATTAGCCACGAAAGCCAAGAAAGAGTACTTTTCCTTTACAAATATCTCAGTGTGGCTTCTCCATGTCTGATCTACTTTCAGCACTTTCACATTTCTACAGCGAATCTCTCTTGTGCATCCTTTAGGGTGCAAGATTATCATTTTATGTTATTTAAATGACAGCGACTTCATGATCTTTATAAAAAGACATAAGTAAAGCCTTAACTACTTTCCGCTACACAACGCATAAGTCACTACAACCATGGGTAATCTATCACACCGCCATCATTATTAGTATGCAAGCGCTACTGGAATTACTGTACATGGGGAAAATTATTGTAACAAAGTCAAATCGTGTGTTCTGATAACAGCACAAGGCATTCCAAATGTACCGCTTTCTTGCTTTTCAGCAGAAACAATAACCATTTCTTCACAGCTGTGAAACGTGCCTAACAGATCTTCATTTAGCAATATTCCCACTTTCTGGTACAAACCTTCCCCTCCCTTAAAAAAAAATTAAAAAATATTACTGTTAAAGGGTAATGTGCAATTCAAGTTGGAAAGGCACTTTGATGCTTCTTACACAGCGAAGTGTCCTTAGGAAATGTGGAAGGCAAAGATGCCAACCAGTTACACAGTATTTCTAGGGATGTTTTTTTCCACTTTAGAGTCTGTATACTTGAAGCTGCTGAACAAAAGCCAAACGCTTCTTACATTGCATCTCTGCAGGGGGTACAGACAGAAATACCTTCCTGCAAGTATCAAAGGCAAAGGCCTTGTTAATAATTTGAAGTAATTAATCTCCCATTAGACGTTTGGTACAGAGCCACCATTTCGCTGCTGTTATAAAATACAAATAAAATGAAGATTGACTCAATAAAAGTCTCAGCACCTACTAGCAGCTTAAGCTTTTTAACATAATGCCTGAAGACTTGTACTTAAAAGCACAGCCTGCCTCTGTGCAAGCTTGAAGTGCTCAGTACACCTCAAGAACATCCCTCATGTTGCAGATTCAGGCCAAGAAACTAAAAGCAAAGTTGCTTGAGAATGAAATGCAGAATTTATACTAAGAAAAAGTGAGCCTTTTGTTCAAAAAAATATTTTTTTCTTAGAATAAAAACAAAGACTAAAGATTTTGCTTGAGATGCTGAATATGAGGATAACACAATAAAAGGTTAGGTGTGAAAATCATTTGTTTATATTTACCAAATATGGCAGGAAATTTTAAGGGAGCTGTGGAAGTGGGTAGTGAAAACACAAAGAAATGTTTTCAGCACATTCAGTAATTCCATGTTTCCAAGCAATTACAGTTTTAAGGAATCAAAAAAAATTGCTTTTTTCTCCTCCAACAACTGACTCACCTCTGCTGAGGTAAATCAGTTACTCCTAAACCATTGCCAGGATTGGATAGTTGACATGACTTAGCCTTCTTCTTTTCAAATGAATGTTAAGGGAATCTGTCTGGCACAAACAGGGACTCGAGGAGTGATTTCAAGATCATTGTGTATATATATATATAAATATATATATATATAAATATATATATATATATATATATTCCATGATTTCTTTTTTCTTTTCTTAACTCCAGTAGAAACAAAAGCCTGTAAATGCTATCAATTAACTGAGTTAACTGGTTTCAAAAAAAAGGCATTAAGAAGGAGTAGGAAAAATCTGAAGTTGCCATACTCCTCCTATTTTGTATCCATGCCAAACGGGACAGACTACAGACCTAGAATCATTTTTACAAAACCCGATCTAAAAATACTCATTCCCAATTGATACGAAGACTGGCAGTAACAGCTGCACTAATTTCCTAAGGTTCAGGTCTCCTAGGGAAGAAACATCCATTCTAGACTTCCAACTGTTGACCAATGAAAGCTCCCCGCATGCACATGGAATACTGCTCCCAGAAGTCTCTCCTGGCACTGGGAAAGATGAGTAGGCAGGACGTTGTTTGTACTCACTAGCATTTTTTTTTTGTTTGTGATTTTGTTGTTCTTGTTCCTGTTGTTTGTTTGTTTGTTTAACTTTGCTAGTGATTTTCAACTACTCTGGCTCCATACTAGCATTATTTCCCAGCACATGTACTCTATGTTCAAAATCCAGGACAAATTAAAAGTAAAATGAAAAATGGCATAGAGCTTTAGAATAGCATCCACGTTCCCTATGGACAGGTTTTTTTTTGTGTGTGTTTTTTTTTTACATAGAAACTATAAATACAAATAACTTTCAATCATAAATATACAAGCACCTTTCCCAAAATAAGTCTGCAGAATATTCTGTTTTCAGTTTGGAAGAGTTGTGGTTTTGCAGGAATGTGTCCACTCATAATCCATGGCACTCTTCAAACAGCACTTGGACGCACTCTGAGAAAGTCTGTAACTGATTTAGGAGCCTCTGAAGACTTGTCTTCAAGTTATAAAAGCATATTTTAATGTACAAAAGAAACAAAGGAAATTCTAATTCTGGGACTAAAGAAACATATTGGACAATCTTGACTTCTACTTTTCATTCTACTGTAGTACAAGTTCTTCAGCATGTACAATGTTTATCATCACAGTACCCAAGGAAAATGAATAATCTGTCACATATTGTTCTCTCATTTTCTCCACAGGGAAAGAATTCTTCTCTGTGAAGTATCTTTTTTGAGAAGGCAAAAGATCCTAGGTTTTATTATGGCTTGAATCTATGAAAGTCTTTTTAATATGTATATTGGTCTGTTAGTGGAAAGTCAGGTCAAAGAAAACAAACACAAAACAAATATTCTAGACCATAAAGTCATGAAATCTGTGACAGTTCATTGTTTCGTAAGCATTTACTCCTCAGCCTTGGCCTAATTCCAAGGAAGGAGCTCAATCTTATCTCTTCCAGAAAGTCACTTGCATCCACATCAACAAACCAGTCATCTTGTAGTCTAACTACTGCAGAAGACCAGAATTTATTTTTGGGGGACTCTATAAACTAGTTACACAGCAGCTGAAAAGCAATTTTACATTACTTCACCGTGGATACACAGCTCTGCAACGAGTCCCAGAGATTTACCTTACAGACAGCAGTGTTTAGTGATGGCAGAAAAGTCCAGGAGAACAACAAATATCTGCACTTCATTAATATCCTTAATATCCTATACAACTACTCTAAACTATACAGAATGGGAATTTAACCGTGAGAATACAGGTAAACTACTATATGGTAAGTACAGGCCCCGAATATACAAGATGTTTTAATAAAGGTCCTCTAAATTCTTTTTTTTTTTTTTTTTTTTTTTTTTTTCTTTTAAGCAAACTATAATGCTATTATTTTAAAATTGTTAGCAATTAGATCTTTTATCTTGTTTTTCTTATATGTTTGGGGCACTCAGAAAGAATGCTATGGTTTATCACTCTGGATAAACTACATGGGAGACCTGACAGCTCTGAGAAATAATAAGAAAAAGGATTTCTCAAAATTCTGCGCACCCCTAGAATATAAGTAATATATTATCTTGTGTGCACCGTCTTCTGTTTTCTACGATTTGTGCCTGAATTTCTGTCCCTTTATCTTAATCTGAGGCCAGAAAATCAAAGCATTCTGCATGGATCACACCAAGAAAGAGGACAGTATGTTTAGGCAACTACACAGTAACACAGATGCAGATAGTTCTTATTCCACGACTGGACTACTCTTGTTCTTTATGGTTTCATGAAATACGCTGTAAACCTCAATTGTTTGTAGTTGAATGAGTGGTTCATAAGGAGTCCCGCCAATAGAAGCACAATTACTAAAAGAAAAAGAGTCCCATTTCTTAAGGCAAATATGAGTCACATGTTCAATA